AAATAAGAGGACTACGTAAGAGTCTACCAGCTCCAGAGATTGTGAACTTCACCCCGTACCGTGAGTATCTACAATAGAGGAGGGCAGAGGGAGTCCCGGGGGGCTGCTGGGTCCTGCAACTGGGACGAGTGGGTCAAGGCTGAGTACGGTGGAAGGGCAGCCCCCGCAGGGTGAGGGGGGCTGCTCTCAGCAGGCAGGAGGAGGCGGGCTGGCCCAGGGCGCAGCAAAGGGTGGCCCCTGAGGCCACAGGTGGATCCAAGGAGATGGCCTGTGTGGAGACACAGTGTCCCCTTTTATGTAGGGCTCTGGTCTTGGGCAGCTGCCATTGTGGCTTTGCTGCCACCAACTCTGGCTAGAGGGGACCCCAGAGATAACAAATGTGCACGAGGGGTCCCAGCACGGGTATGGTAGGTCCCTGCTCTGGGATAGTAGGCCTTGTCATGTCCCAGCTCCTGAGAGCGGGGCTGGGGGCCACAGGTGTCTGCCTCTACAACCCCACCATCGGCATGGGCAGAAGTGCTCTGCCCTCATTGTCGCCACAGCGCATTTGGGGCTGAATCATATTTTGGTCAATGTGGATTACGAACCAGGACAGGAAGCCTTAGGCTTGTTTGGAGTCGGTCAGTGCTGCTCTGCTTTGCATTATTTTGTTTTGTTTTAAACCCCTCGTGGGTTCAGAGCTCCTGCAGACTTTCAGAGCCCTCTCGTCCTCTTTGCAAGGGCAATGGGAGTGGGCTAAACAGGTGAGCTGGAGCCCTCTGGACAGGGGCCTGCCTTCAGGATCTTCCCTGAGCCCTGGGGTCGCTCCCGCCGAGGACACAGCCCTTGTTTGGCAAGGAGAGTGCTTTGCTTGGGCTGTGGTGTCACTGGGTCATTTGCGCTTCTAGGCTTTGGTACCCGTGACCTGCGCTACACTACCTTGCTTTCCTCCTCCCTTCCTTCTCGTCTAAATTTGCTCTCTTCTCTCGCTCCCTCCCTCTTTGCTTCCTCTCCTTCCTTCCTTCTTTCTCTCCTTCTTCTTTCTTTCCTGCCCTCCCTCCTGGCTTCCAACATTTCCAGAGCGTTTGCTGTGTTCTAGGCAACACACTAAGCACTGGGGTTATTGGGATGAATCAGAAGGGGCCCCTGCCCTTGTGCAGCTCAGAGAGAACAGACTTGTCTGCAAGTGGGAGGTGCAAAGAGCTATGTGTACAGCGTGTTCTGGAACAGAGGCGGGAATGTCTAGTTCTGCCTGGGGAGAGAGAAGACAGCCACTCCTCCAAGGGGCTGGCATGGAAGCTGGAATGGGAGGGAAGGCACACAGGCAGATACAGCTCGACAGAGGTGAAATGGCATATGCTTATGAGGAGGGAACAGCCTGAGAGGTCTGGAAATACAGGCAGGGGCTGATAAGCCCAACCTTGGGTCTGGGCAGCAGTGCAGGATTATCCTGAAAGCCGGGGGCCCATCCATGAGCACGAGTCTTGAAGGCCAGGGCGTGGGTTTCTTTGCACCCCCACCATGTCCAAACCACTGTGGAGCAGGGAGCTGGGCCTGCAGATAACACTGGGAATCATCGGGACAGCAGTCCTGCTGAGAACCCCACAGACAATGCACTTCCACCCAGAAAAAGTTCTGGCCACTTAGGCAAACTGCCCACTGGTGCTACGGCACACAGCTACAGTAAACGCCCATCTCCCCTTCTTCCAGCAGCAGAATCCAGTTCTCCTCTGAGCATCCTCCCCACTTCACATTTGGTCCACACAGTCAAGGTAGAAATGACATCATCCCCTGGCTTTGGGGACCTCGGGCCAATGGCCATAGCAACTGGTTTGGGGATGGATGTGTGACTAAAGGCAGGCTGATGAGAACCAGTGAATTTCCATGGCAGACACTGCAGAAAAAGGGAAGCTCTCTGCTGCCTGGAGCTGCAGGGCCACCTTGATAAAGAGCCTGGCCAACAAAAGAGCCAACTGAGAGGAAAGAGGAACCAAGAGGAAGCATGGGAGCAGCTTGTTAGGGCACTGGATCCAGCCACGCCTGAAGCTGTACTAGGCTCCTCAACTTCACTGCACAGGAGTTACTAAGTGATTACTTCAGCTTTAGCTTGTTTGGATTGGGTTTTTACCTGCTGCAGACTGGAGTCCTTACCAATGTATTATTTTTACCAATTTGTAATGCCCGGACTTGGAAATCAATCTTAATGAAAAATCTCCTAAAAATTACCCTTTCTCTCTGAGGTTTAACAGATTTAAATATTCCACATTGGGACTAGAGGGGATGAAGAGACCATCAGCTTTAACTATCACATCATTTTATAGATGAGGTCAAAGCAAGTGACCCACCCAGGGTTTCCTTTACGCATTTACCAAATACTGACTCGGTGCCAACCCTGGGCCAAGTACCTCCGGACATTCATCTTGTGAGCAGGACAGACAAGTTAGTGGCAGAGTTGGAATGAGAACCTGAACCCCCTCACTCTAACTCAGATTTCCCCACTGCACCACGATGCCTCAAGGCTGGAGCACAGAGTGGTGAAGTGACTTGCCCATGATCACACAGCCTACAAAGGGCAGAGCCAACACTCAGACTTGCAAGTTTACTTATGAAACCTTGGCTAATTCTCAGTGTTCATAAAAGTCTATGAGCATTTCAAGCTAACTAGTTTGTGATGCTCTAAACATCTAGCCAACTGAACAGAAATTGGTCCAATTTAATTTTACTTTCTGAAGGCTTATTTGTTATAAGTGAATGTGTTAGCAGTACCTGTCATCCTCAGAATAAAACTATTACAAGGGGGTACTTGGGCTGTGAGAGACTGGAATGGTGATGACCCACTAGCAGCAATGCTGGAATGACAACTGGCTTTCCTCTTCCAGAAAATTCTCTCCAGTGTAAACAGAGGATAGAGAAGTGTGCTGAGACTGAAGAACAGCGAAAAAGGCTTACACTGCAGGGCTGCACGGCTTACACTGGGAGAGCCATGTCACATCTGACTGGGCTGGGAGGAGCAGACAGAACTGAATGCAGGGCCACTTGTCTGTCCCAAGTGACTGCTTGGGACTCCAAACTAATCAGAGCAAGGAGAGACATGTATGGAAATGACATGGTAGGACTCCTCCCCCAAGAAAGGGAGGGAGGAAACTGAAACAACGAGACTTTAGGAAGGGCCCCTGATAGAAGATGAAAGGGCTGGCCCATCCACAGGTGAGAAAGCAGGAGACCTGGGCTTGGGTCGGCTGGACTCTGCCTTCTCTGTAAACTTGAGTAAGTGACGTGACTTCTCTGAGCCTTGATTTTCTCACCAGTAGCACTGGGGATGACAACACAGATGCTTCTCTGGCCACACAGACTGGCCTGGAAAATTTCTCATCCAAGCCCACAGGGTCAGATACGGAGGACCCCCAGGCAGAGAATCTGTGCCTGAGGATACAGAAGGTTGGCTGCAGGTGGGGCTGGGCACTGAGGGCAAGAAAGAACTCATGGGGGGCTGGCGTGCGATGAATTCATCTGTGAAAATAAAATGAGGACAGCATTCCAAATGAGGGAGGACGTCAAAGGCACTTTGTGGAAGTGCTTGTGATTCTGGGCGCCTCGCCTCTCGTCTGCTCACTGCATGAGAGAAACGCTAGTTGCATCGCCGCACCTCAGACACTAAGCAATTTTCTTGCTCATGTAAAGCCCAGTTGTTCCTGGTCAGGTATGACCTTCTCGTGGTCACTCAGGATCTGGGCTCTGTTGTCTTCAGGGGTTACAGTTGATGAGCACACACACAGGGACCAGGCCCACCTAGGGCAGCCTCTGCAGCTGCCCCCTCCCCACTCAGGCTCAGTCTTAACTCAAAACTACTGAAAAACACCTGGTACATCCATGTTCATAGCAGCATTATTCACAAACCCGAAAGGTGGAAGCAACCCAACTGGCCATCGACAGATGAACGGAAAAATGTATGTAATAAATCCATACAATGGTATTAGTATTCAGCCATGAAAAGGAATGAAGTTCAGACACATGCTGCAACCTGGATGAACCTCAAAATAGTATGTGAAGTGCAAGGAGCCAGACACAAAAGGACAAATATCATATGACTCCACTTCTATGAATCATCTAGAACAGGCAAACTTACAGAGACAGAATTAGAGGTTTCCAGGGGCTGGGAAAGGGAAGGGACTGCTGAACAGGTATGGGATTCCTGTTTGGGAAGATGAGAAAGTTCTGGAGGTGGATGATGGTGATGGTGGCACAACATTGTGAATGTGTTTAAAGCCACTGAATTGAATATTTAAAAATGGTTAACATGGTAAACTTCATGTTATATGTATTTTACCACAATAACAAACAAATAAAACAAACCCTAGAACTACAGCCAGGAGCCCAGCACTGAGTCACAGTGACCCATGCAGGAGGAGGAGGAGGAGGTGCAGTCTGATCTAAAAACACAACCTTAGACATGTCTCACTGTGAGATACTCCACAGAAGGGACGGACGGTCCCTTGAATTAAACTTAGGAGCCACATCACATCTAAAAGCTGTAGGAACAATGATCCATATGGCTTTCTGAGACCCAGAGAATGGGTTGTTCCCAGGGTAGCAGACTGGCTCTGGTCACCGGGCCACTGCCAGAGCCCAGTGAGGGATGGGCAAGTGATTAAGTACAAACACCCACCCTCCAGACACCGAGGTTCCTGTTTGCCACACACTTAGATTCCTGTTGAGTTAATAACACCAGTCTCATAGAGCAAAGTTGTAATAAATATGACGGCTATAGATACAGAACAAACCCTTTGGGTCTCAAAAGCAAGACTTGATCAGTCACTTAAGCCACCAGTAAATTCCAGCTCTTGGCTGAGCTAGTTTTTTCCAGCTAGTGACATGGGAAATTTCAGCCTCACCAGCAGCATGTTTAAGGAGGCGGGACCCTGAGACATCTGAGACACAAGGCCACAGAGCAGCACCTGGCTATTCCAATTGCTGTGGCCCTCGTCAGCAGTGGGGTTGGGGGATGCTCAGAGCTTACCGGCCTCGCCAACAAAGACTTCCACGGGTGCACTGGCTGGGCTCTCGCCGATGATGTTATAGGCGGTCATAATCACTTCATAGCGCCTGTACTTCTTCAAACCTACAAGGGTAAAGGAGACCGGGGTCAGCTTGCACCAGGACTACCCCCCATTCTTAGAAAGTTCCCTCTAAACCATACGGAAGGAATCAGTACCCTCTGAGGAGAGGCAGGGGAAATAATTAGCCTTTTAATCCATGGAGAAGTCTGTGAATGCCTCCCCGCCCATTACCAGTAGCATCCCCCCACCTCCTCCTGACTATTAATTAAGCACCCACCATGGTAAGGCAAAAAGAGTCATCCTATTCTGTGTTCAGGTAAAAGGCAGCAGGAAGCCCCCTCTTTTAAAGTTAAAAATTTGGATTATGAAACATGATCTGGACATGACTTTTGGTCCAGAATCTCTCCTTAAAAGTAAGAACAGATGGATGAAGACCCTGGCATTTAAAAATAATTTAGAAAAGACACTGGTAAACCAAAGGCCTTTGAGTGTTTAATAACCATGTCCTAGGAAGAAAAGGGTGTGGGAACCCATGTATATAGAATTACACAAGGCAGGTGGCCAGACTCAGTGACACAGCAAGAGTAAATGACCCTTAAGCCAAAACGTTCTGGAAGGTTCTCCCACTGGTTAATAATGCTCTGTGGGTAGCTTGGTTTTTCTGAGGCCTGCATGGGGTCTGAGCACCTGCATGTTGGTGGGAATGGTGGCTCACACCAGGCCTCCAAACTGTGACTCCAGCAAGCTCGAAACTCAGTAGAGCTCCAGTGAATCAGACCACCGAGGTCCCTCTACTATCAACTTTCAATAAATGTTTACAAAGGTCTGCCCATGTAGCTGAGTCAGGATCCAGCTTCTCCAATTCTCAGCACCGCTGGAGCTGTGCTGCCTTAAAATAACCTATAGGAAGTGGCTTCCAGGACTAACACTGGCCTGGCTTGTTAGTCTCAACACAGGGACTCGTGGCTGCTGAGTCCTGAGAAGGAGAAGGGGTCAATGGAGACATGTGATGTGGATGCAACCATATGGGCTCGGGCCACCCCTCTTTGGTTTTTTATAACCCGTGATGGAAAATCTGGAGAAAGTCTAACTTGGGAACCCTAATGGCTAGAACCTTGTCTGTCTTTTAACTTTTTAACTTGCTCCTCAACTGAGGTAACGTTTGGGAAGGTGCCTGAAGCCTTGCTGGGCACTCAGCAGCACGTGCTATGGGAACGATGGGTAATGCGCGAATGAGTGAGTAGCACGGTGCAGAGAGAGGAGCTTGGCGTGAGCCCTGTCCCCGCCACCTAGGGGCTGGGTCAGCTGCCTGCAGGAAGGTGGGAGGATGGAATGGGACGGTGTTGAGAAGCCCCCTGAAGAATGCCCGCACATAGCAGGGTCTCAGAAAGGGTTAGCTCCTTCCCCTCCCTCCCGCTTCCACTTTCTAATCCAGCCAAGTTCTCCACACTGAAGTGAACCTCATTATGGGATCCCCCCTTAGCCCCACACTTGGATCTTGAAATCCCTCCCTAGCCAGGAATCAAAGGAGAAGCAACATGGTTGGGTTAAAGTTGAAGGGAGGATGAGCAAGTAAACAAAATGGGGTCTATCTATATGATGGAATATTATTCAGCCTTAAAAAGGAGGGGAATTCTGACATGTGCCCCAGCGTGGATGAACCATGAAGACATTGTGCCCAATGAAATAGCCAGTCACAAAAGGACAAATACCATATAATTCCACCTATATGAGGGACCCAGAGGGGTCAAAATCATAGAGATGGACAGTATAGTGGTGGCTGCCAGGAGCTAGGGGAGGGGACTAGAGAGTAATGTGTTTTTTTTTCCTTTTTGTCTTTTTTACTGACCGGTAACGGGATCGCAACCCTCAGTGTCGCGCCCGTACCGGGGACCGGCAACGGGATCGCAACCCTCGGTGTTGCGCCCGCACCGCACTCAGCCAGTGAGCAGGAACCAGTCTCCTCATGGGATCCGAACCCTCGGCGGGAGCGCCGCTGTACTCCCAAGCGGCGCACTCTCCAGTGCACCACCAGGCTGGCCCGAGAGTAATGTTTATTGGGACAGAGTTTCAGTTTGGGAAGATGAAGAAGTTCTGGAGGTGGGTGGTGGTGATGGCTGCACAACAACATGAATGTACTTAATGCCACTGAAGCGTACACTTAAAAATAGTTAAGATGGTAAATTTTCTGTTATGTACTTTTTATCACTATATAAAAATAAGAGTTAAAAAAAAAAAAAAAGTCAAAGGGAGCCAGAGAAGAGATGTTGCCCAATCTGACTTTTCTGTCTGTCCCAAACTCAAAGACCAGAGGTGGGTAAATCCCCCCAGCCTCTGTTTCTAGAAGTTTCCTTCCCTGTTTCCCTCATGGTTTTGGCATGTTGGGAAGCAGTACTTGAGAGGGGACATTCCAGAAATTAGGGCCATTAATCCAAGCTGGTTTCACTTGGTCCACTGAGAGGCCAATTGGAGCTGGCCACGATGGGCTACCCAGTCACCGAGGCCTCCGGCTGACGGCGGTGTGCACTTACGTGTTAATTCATACGTTGTTAATGTGGAGCTGCTGTTCACGGTCTTGAAGCTGCTTTGGGCTATTAGGGGTAAGTAAAGTAGAAAGGCAGTTAGCATGCAGGGAAACAGTTATTGCAAATTATGTACAGCAGAAATGAGGGAAATGTGTGGCTGCACTCGGGTGCTGTTCCAGCTCCCACACGGCACCTCCAAGGGTGATAAAGGCCACCTGCCGCTCACAAGCTTCCCATCAGCTCCCCGGGCGTTACTGCACTTCTTTGTAAAACAGCAAGGCACGGCAGCCTGAGATGGGGGAGGGTGCTCACCCCTCTGATTCAACAGAACAAATTAGTGCTTGGCATGACATAGTGCCAAGCAACACTGGGAAGGCCATGGACACCGGCTTCTTCTGGTCACTTGTGGCAGGTACAGCTGGCTGTCAGCTTACTCATGCTCATGCCTAGAACCCTGGCCTGAGGGGACAAGCAAACCACCAAAGAAAGAACTCTTGAGACCAGCTGTACAAACCCAGCCACACATGGAGCCCTTCTATTTTGTTGTTTTGATTTTGCTACAAAGCCCAGGGAAATGCTAGTTGTTGTCTGGTCATCAGCAAGGGATACCTTCAGGGTGTGCCAAGAGTGTGGATGACAGCTGAGTGACTTCCTTTCATCAACATTTATCAACACCATGCCTGGCACAGGCGCCAGGGTCAAGTCATGTGAGCACAAGGTGCTGCCATCTGCATGCCTGGCCCACAGGGAGAGAAGAACCGGGTGCATGGTCTGCTTAGAGAGTGATACGATGGAGGTGGCACAAAGCAAGAAGGCAGCTGTCCAAGTGGCACATTTCTGGAGCTGCACTCTCACTCTGTCCCCAGCACAAAGATGTCAAGGTGTAAAGACTATCTTCTGTGATGCTGTTTGGTGGATGCCAGGAAACAAAAACCCTCTAACCTCCTTCTGAGAGGAGGAGCTGGGAGAGGGGCAGCCTTCCCTGCAGTTCCAGAAGCTACCTTGATGGCAGCTGGACTATCCTCAGAGCTGTGCCAGGGTTTGGACTGTGGTGGAGCACAGGCTGAGCACAGACCAGCCCAGGGATGAGAGAAGCCAGGGCTCCACGCTGAGACTGTGCACTCTGATGGACGGGAGGAACCTGCCCTTGGACTTGATGGGTTCCCCTGCCTCCATCTCAGGTCCCAGACCCCTCCCCACTTAGGGCAGCAGCACACTGTCCTTGCAGCCCTGGCTACATCTCCTCCCTCAATATGACCCACCACCCACAAAGTCCTACCACCTTCCCAACTGCACCCTGCCGCCTCGCACCCGCTTTCTGCGTTCTCCTGGTGGCAAAACTGCCTGCTCCCCATCCCCGAGAGCAGGGCTATCTCCTGGAGTCTCCTCCTGGCCTCCTGCATGGCATTTCCCACTATTTTTTGCATGGAGCAGATGTGCAAGGATTGCTTGGGAACCTCCCTGCCCCACCTGTCATGGTGACTGACGGTCAGTACCTGTGTCAGGACAGAGGGGAAAGCATCTCACCTGTGAGTTCGGTTCGTAAAGCTGAAGGGCTTTTGAGTGTCTTGGCCTCTGTGCTTGACCCAGCCTCATACTCCAGCTCCCGGTAGTAGATCCTGTATCCCTGAAGAAGGCCATTCAGACTTTCGTCCCTGGGGGGCTGCAAGATATCACACCAACTCAGCCACGCCGAGGGAGTCGACCGAGTCAGCCTGTGGGAGAGCTTGGTGACCTCTGCCCCCAGTTTAGCTAACTACACAAGAGGAAGTCACTAGTTCAAACCAATGGCTCCTGATTGTTAAAAACGAAGAAGAAAAGAAGAAAAGAAAATTGGTGAAGAGGAATACGAGGGACCTCCTAGAGCACAGAACGAAGCTGTGGAGCCATTCGCAGACCCTCAGTTGTCTTGTGGGTGTGTGGGGGGACATGGGCGTCTTATCCTANATACCTTCAGGGTGTGCCAAGAGTGTGGATGACAGCTGAGTGACTTCCTTTCATCAACATTCATCAACACCATGCCTGGCACAGGCGCCAGGGTCAAGTCATGTGAGCACAAGGTGCTGCCATCTGCATGCCTGGCCCACAGGGAGAGAAGAACCGGGTGCATGGTCTGCTTAGAGAGTGATACGATGGAGGTGGCACAAAGCAAGAAGGCAGCTGTCCAAGTGGCACATTTCTGGAGCTGCACTCTCACTCTGTCCCCAGCACAAAGATGTCAAGGTGTAAAGACTATCTTCTGTGATGCTGTTTGGTGGATGCCAGGAAACAAAAACCCTCTAACCTCCTTCTGAGAGGAGGAGCTGGGAGAGGGGCAGCCTTCCCTGCAGTTCCAGAAGCTACCTTGATGGCAGCTGGACTATCCTCAGAGCTGTGCCAGGGTTTGGACTGTGGTGGAGCACAGGCTGAGCACAGACCAGCCCAGGGATGAGAGAAGCCAGGGCTCCACGCTGAGACTGTGCACTCTGATGGACGGGAGGAACCTGCCCTTGGACTTGATGGGTTCCCCTGCCTCCATCTCAGGTCCCAGACCCCTCCCCACTTAGGGCAGCAGCACACTGTCCTTGCAGCCCTGGCTACATCTCCTCCCTCAATATGACCCACCACCCACAAAGTCCTACCACCTTCCCAACTGCACCCTGCCGCCTCGCACCCGCTTTCTGCGTTCTCCTGGTGGCAAAACTGCCTGCTCCCCATCCCCGAGAGCAGGGCTATCTCCTGGAGTCTCCTCCTGGCCTCCTGCATGGCATTTCCCACTATTTTTTGCATGGAGCAGATGTGCAAGGATTGCTTGGGAACCTCCCTGCCCCACCTGTCATGGTGACTGACGGTCAGTACCTGTGTCAGGACAGAGGGGAAAGCATCTCACCTGTGAGTTCGGTTCGTAAAGCTGAAGGGCTTTTGAGTGTCTTGGCCTCTGTGCTTGACCCAGCCTCATACTCCAGCTCCCGGTAGTAGATCCTGTATCCCTGAAGAAGGCCATTCAGACTTTCGTCCCTGGGGGGCTGCAAGATATCACACCAACTCAGCCACGCCGAGGGAGTCGACCGAGTCAGCCTGTGGGAGAGCTTGGTGACCTCTGCCCCCAGTTTAGCTAACTACACAAGAGGAAGTCACTAGTTCAAACCAATGGCTCCTGATTGTTAAAAACGAAGAAGAAAAGAAGAAAAGAAAATTGGTGAAGAGGAATACGAGGGACCTCCTAGAGCACAGAACGAAGCTGTGGAGCCATTCACAAGAGGAAGTCACTAGTTCAAACCAATGGCTCCTGATTGTTAAAAACGAAGAAGAAAAGATGTCAAATTGGTGAAGAGGAATACGAGGGACCTCCTAGAGCACAGAACGAAGCTGTGGAGCCATTTGCAGACCCTCAGTTGTCTTGTGGGTGTGTGGGGGGACATGGGCGTCTTATCCTATGTTCAGCTTGAATCCTCGAATGAGCCCCTAGGCTGGAGCAGGAGAGTACGGCCTGGACACAGATGGTGGAGAAGCTGCCCACTGAGCGGTAAGCCCAGAACAATTAGGAGCTCAGGATGCAGTCTGGCTCCAAATCGGCCATCATTGGCCTCACCCTGTCCCTCCCACTTCCTGGCCACCCAGGCTTGTGGGAGTCTTACTGGGTGCCTCACTGACCCTTCCACATGCCAGATCACCCCCGCTCTGCTCAACTCAGACCTAAGGCTGGAATCCCCATGGCCCCTCTGATGTCAGCTGGCATAAGAAGAGCCTAAGATAGGTCTGGCGCTCATTTGACTCTTAAAAACCCAGTAGAATACAAAGAACAGATAGATAAGGAAGCCGAGGTTCAGATCTTGCTAGAATTTAAACACGGGTTTGTGGGAACCCTAGACCTATACAGATCCACATTAGGGTATGACTGCTCACCATTCAAGAACCAACCCAAGGTTTCCTTCTTCCCTCAGTTGGTTTCTGTTGATAAGTAAGTGACAGATCTGTCACTAGAAGAAAGGTCCTCCCATTTCCACAAGGACTCCCCATAAAGCCTCAGCGTCCATGGCATCCATCTGGTATTGAGGCTCAACAATCCAGTCTCTCCTCTTGGGATTCTCAGATAAGCAATAAGATCCTTCCAGGCTGTGACCAGAAGGATGGGTAAAAACAAGGCCATGAAGCTTTGTCCTAGGACAGGGATGTACACTGGATGTCTCGTGTCTCCTACACAGTGGCTGACTATGTGAGGTCACTAGCACCTCAGAACACTGTCCTGTTCCACAGCTTTGCTGCAAGAGAACCCCTTTGTTGTGGGTTGAATTGTGTCCCCCAAGAAGATATGTTCAAGTGTAATCCCCAGCACCTGTGAACATGACCATATTTGGAAATAAGGTCTTTGCAGATGTAATTAGTTAAGATGAGGTATAGTGGATTAGGGCTGGCCCTCATCAAATGACTGGTATCTTTATAAGAGGAGGGAAAATTGAACACATGGATACACAGGGAGACTGTCACATGAAGAAGAGGCAGAGACTGGAGTAATGCGCCTACAAGCCAAGGAAGGAACACCAAGAGTTGTTGGCAGCCACCAGGAGGTGGAAGAGGCAAGAGGGAGCCCTTCCTAGAGCCTTCAGAGTGAGCATGGGCCTGCCAACACCTTGATCTTGGACTTCTGGCCTCCAGGACTGCGAGAGAATACATTTCTGCTATTGTAAGCCACCCAGTTTGTAGTGATTTGTCACAGCAGCCATCTTGATGTCCACCCTCTCACTGTCTAATTCTGACTATCCGAACCCAGGGACAAAAAGGATTTGGATGTTGGGATAAATCCCTTTCCCTTTGAACTCTTGCTACTCATGATCCAGAACTCAGACCTGAAGAATGCAGTATCCTTTGCTCTCCAAACTCTCCAACAGAACAGCTCAGGGAGCAAGGAATACTGGTACTGATGTAGCTAGGAGAACTATAAACATTTACACATGCACCAGAGGAACAGCTGTGTGCATGGCATATGCAGGGTGTTTTCAAAAATGAGAATTGCTGGGCCGGCCCGGTGGCGCACTGGAGAGTGTGCCGCTTGGGAGTGTGGCGGCACTCCCGCCAAGGGTTCGGATCCCATGTGGAGACCAGCTCCCGCTCACTGGCTGAGCGCGGTGCGGGCGTGGCACCGAGGGTTGCGATCCCGTTGCCGGTCCCCGGTACGGGCACGACACCGAGGGTTGCGATCCCATTACCGGTCAGTAAAAAGGACAAAAAGGAAAAAAAAATGAGAATTGCTAACATGTTAACTCAAGCTGCTCCCAGGGCCGTGCAATGCAGGGCTGCTGGCAGATCCCTGCCACTCTTCAAAGTCAGTCCTAGGTCCTCTGTGATGCTCTCAATTCGGGAATAGCACTAAGCATATCATTTCCCATTGGATATAGAAAAGTACAACTGGAAAATTTGAACAGATTTGCCAGGCCTTGATGATCCATGTTAGAGGGACCCAGCAAGCCCACAACATCAGACAAAGTTCCAGCCTTTGTGCAGCTCCACTACTCCCGGCCCAGGGTGTCAGACCCCAGGCATGCAAGTCCAGAGGCAGAGAAAATAGTGGTTCTGGAGGCCATGTCTGAGTCGCCAGTGTCCCCCACCCAGTCAACACCCCACAGCCCTCCTCGACTTTGCTGAAAGGCACAAGGTCACCTACCTGTCTGGTTGGCATCCCCCAGCTCCGAGGATGCCTGCCACCCACCAGGAACCAGGGAGGGGAAAGGGCACTGCCAGATATTCGAATACTTTGGCTCCATATTCTCAAAGAGACAGTGGAGGCTTCTCCTTTTCTCACTTTACCTTCCGTTGGCCCTTGCCAGCAGCAGAGGGGACCTGGGGCTGGCTCTGCTCCAGCCCCTCTGCCCTCACAGGGCCCTGGGGCATTTGAACACCATGGTGCCCAACGGCCAGAACTGCAGAACCAGAGCCTGAGGACTTCAAGGGCAGGTGAGTCTCTTGTTTGTTGCTCTTTCCCTTCTAGGCTTGCTAGGTTTATCCAATAAAAACACATGACACCCAGCTAAATCTGAGTCTCAAAATCATTGTTCTGATAGCAAATGTAACCGAGCATCCACTGTTTTCTCTGGCAACCCTGCCTCCTCCCCTTATCTGACTGCCTTCCACGGGATGACCTACAGGTGGAAATGCTTGTTAAATCATCCCATGATAACAGATCTACTGAAACAAAACAGAAAGTGAACCAGTGCAGACCAGGGTATCTCCAGATCGGGTGCACCCCAGCCAGGGCAGGGCAGAAGAGCAGCAGAGTCCCTGGGGCATGGACCCGCCACCCGTGCGTTCCCTGTAACCATTGACCACTTCTCCAGCAGAGAGCTTCTGCCCTGCTTGCTGTTCAACAGCTTCTGAGGACTTCTCACACTTATCAGGAAGACAAAATATAACATAAACCTGACCAGAGAGCCAAGAGCTCAGGAAGCTGAGTGCTGGCAGAACAGGGAGGGGCAAGAATCGGTGGCAAAGCCCACAAGTCCGACTGAGGAGCAGGAAGGGAAGGCTGTGTATTGTGCTGTTTTATCTTATTTGATTTTGTCCTTTTCTACCAATTTTGATGACAAAGCCTTAATGTTTGGGACACCTTGAGCATCCCAGCAATGGTCAATCACCAGTGCTCTGGAATATTCATCTGTTTCTTCTCTAGCCCACCTGTCCTGGGAACCCCCAGTCCTGGTCTGCACCCCTCCCCGTGAGTATTGAGTATTTCAGACCCTTTACTTAAACCTGAGGGTGCCGACAGGGCTCATTTTCTGATTTTCCTCCCTATAGAGTATACAGAATTGTTGTCAGAACAGCTTTTAGGTTTTGGGTCCCCCCCACTTTAAAAAGCGGTTCCTTTGGTAAGGGTAGATGCCATTCAGTGTTGCACTCAACTGCAAATTGGTCCGAGATATATGTTGTTGTGAGTGCATCACAGTAGACGTGGAGACAGAGACGGGAAGCCTGCGTGTGCGTGCGTGTGTGTGCATAACACACAGTACATACACACGCGCACATCCACTCACACAAGGACAGAAGGGGGTTACTAGCAATCTGCTATTTCAACTCCAGTCCTGGGTTTTCTCATTGGCTACAGTTGAGACTTACAGTTAAATCCTTCCTTATTCTGTAGGACATCCTTCTTCAAACACAACTGTTACCACACTGTAATAGAAAGTTTATTTAACCCCTTTCTTAAAAAAATACAATGGATGGAAAATTGGAAAAGTTGATGAGGAAGAATAGAAAGAGGCATTTCTCCACATGCCATCTGCATTTTACAGAGCAGGTAAACAGAGTGAAATGCTCCCCGTGCCCTTTTGCCAGCTAAGTTAGCTCCAAAGATTCCAGCACCTCTGTCCACGTGGCTGCAGGTCACGCATCGCTGTGGCCCCTAGGAGAGGGAGGACAGTGCTGGGCCCACTGCGTCCCTCCTGTGGTGGGGAAGGGCAGGACTGAGAGCCACCCAGAAGGCCAGGCGCACAGGTTTCTCTCACAGCTGTGCCTGTTCGCTCACTCTGCGGCCTGTCTCGGGCTCAGGGCATATTTGCTGAGTAAATGTGTGAAAACACTGAGCTCCACACCCAGGGATGCGTTCTAGCCTCACCATCTCATTGGGTCCACGAGATCTCCTGCGTTATGTAGCACAGAGAGCCTTGGGACTAAGAAAGGGACTGTAAAGCCTCAGAAAGGGAGTGCTCACTGCTGACATTAGACTCAGAAATTCACAAAGGAATGACTTCTGAACTGCCCTTGAA